ATGGATTCATGTTACAAAGTTAGAAAAAACTTTTAAAGAAGGAGGGAATGTGTCATTCAAATGCAATTATTGTGGTGGCACCTACAAAAGATCTTATTTTAGGGTGAAAGCACATCTACTTAAGATTTTTTGCCATGGAATTAAAATGTATCCTAAGATTACTACGTCATAACTGATTGAATTGAATAGACAAATTGATGAAGCTGAATCTAGGATCAAAAGAGCACTTCCTAAAGAAATATCTTTGTCATCTACCCATGGTTCATCCCACACTTCATCCTCATCTATTAGAGTTAATCATTCATTATCATGTAGGAACAAAAGATATGATTCAAAGAAAAGAAAAAGAGTTACCAATAGTGCTTTAGAAAAGGCTTTTAACATGCAGCACCAAGAGGAATTGGATGGTGAAATTGCAATGATGTTTTTTTCAGTTGGACTTCTTTTCAACCTTGCAAGAAATCTTCATTACAAAAATGCATTCACTTTTGCATGTAATAACAACCTTGCAGGTTATGTTCCACCTTGCTACAATGCAATAAGATCAAAATTATTAGAAAGGAAAAGAGCACATATTGAAATATTGCTTGAACCAACAAAAGGTGTATGGAAAGAAAAATGAGTCACTTTGATGTGTGATGGTTGGATTGATCCTCAAAGAAGACCACTCATTAATTCCATGCCGTTATAGAGAATTACCCAATATTTATTAAAGCTGTGAATTGAAGGAGAATACAAAGATAAATATTTCATTGTCAATTTGATTAAAGAGGAGATAGTCATTATTGGGCCTTCAAATATTATGCGGGTTATAACAAATAATACACCGGTGTGTAGAGCTGCAGTATTGTTGGTGGAGCAAACTTGTCCTTATATATTCTGGACTCCATGTGTTGTGCACACTTTAAATCTTGTTCTAAAAAATATTTGTGCAGCAAAGAACACATAGACAAATGAAATCATCTATGTTGAATGTCATTGGATAATAGTAATTGCAGATGATGCTGTTTTGATAAGAAATTTCATTATGAACCACTCAATGAGACTTTCAATATTTAATAATTTCTCACATTTGAGAATGTTAACTGTTGCTGAAACTCGTTTTGCCTTTATAATAATCATGTTGAGAAGATTCAAACAAATAAAAAATGTCCTTCAATCTATGGTGATTAGTGAGAAGTCTTGCTTTCGAGAAGATGATGTGGGAAAGCAAGATATGTGAAAGAAAATGTCTTAGATGATTTGTGGTGGAATGATATAGATTACATTTTGGCTTTCACTGATCCGATTTATGACATGTTGAGAGAGGCTGACACAGATAAATCATGCCTACATTTGATTTATGAGATGTGGGACTTTATGTTAACAAAAGTGAAAGAAATTATATACAGACATGAAAGAAAGTTACATAATGAAGACTCAAGTTTTTGGAGCATTGTCTATACCATTCTTGAGGATAGGTGGATTAAAAGCAACACATCTCTGCATTTTTTGGCCCATTCATTAAATCCAAGGTACATTTGTATTCATCTTTTAAATTAATTTTAAATTTTCTTGGTAAATGATTAAATAATTTTATATGCTTTGTATTATTTGAAGGTATTCAAGTAAAGAATGACTTCAAAAAGATCCTCAATGCGTCTCACCAAAAAAAGACTTAGAAGTGTCAAATATGAGAAAGATGTGCTTGAAATGATATTTCCCAAATAAGGAGAGAAGAAAAATTAATATAGAACTTACAAAGTTTTTTGGATATTTGGAGGATTTTGATGATCAAGAATCTTTGGTTGATAGATAGAGGATGGATCCAAAAATATGGTGGTTGATTCATGAAGCTTCAGCATCGCTTCTTCAAACCAAAGCAATAAAACTTCCTGTTGTGAGAGAAATTGGAGCACATACTCATTTATGCAATCAATGAAGATAAATAAAATAACTCCACAACGTGCTGAAGATTTAGTTTATGTGCATATAAATTTTCGTCTTCTATCAAGAAAAACCCCACTTTATATGACAGGTGATAACAAGATATGGGATGTTGCTGGAGATGGGTTTGAGTGGCTTCATGATATGGGGTTATTGGAGGTTACAAATCTTTCTCTAGATGAACCAGAGTTGGAAGCAATGATATTCAATGATGATGATATGAAGGTCAAAGACCAACATCTGAATCTAGTTCTATCATTCCCTCTATTGAGTTGTTGGACATTCATGTTATATTAAATAGTTTTTTGCTTATATTTTTGTGGTTCTATTAGACATTTTTATATTAAATATCTTTATTTTATAAGCTAAACAAGTTATTATAATTTTGATTTATTATTGCTTGCCATTTTTAATATAATGTTACCTTAATTTTAATATATTATATTAAAAAATTATTATGTCGTGTCCATGCCGCACCCGTGTCCTATATTTTTAAAAAATGTCGTGTTCGTGTCGTGTCGTGTCCATGTCACCGTATCTGTGTCGATGCATCATAGGTTATCATCAAAATCACAAGCTAGGATCCCAGATTACAACATAAATAAACCTAGAATATATGAATCTCGTGGCAAACTTTGTGAACCAATCCATGTAAACTTGCTACAAAATATAACGAGGACTTCCAGTGAGGTTCTTCTTTTGGTGGAAACCTTGTGTGAACTAAATGTAATTTTCGACTTCCAGCTCATAACATAGAAATGTGAAATTAACATCAGATTGTCCCATCTACCAATCTTTAGAACATGATATAGTCAATAGATAGTGCAATACTTACAAATTTTACAACAACAACATCATCATCATCAAGCCTTTATCCGGCTACATGAATCCTTTTCCTCCATTGTGGCTGCTAAGAGTCTAACTATTTTACAATCGATTCAAAACATTATGACAGTCAAGCTCCTTGACTTAAGAGAACCCATTGTGACAAAGTGTGCCCTGCACAACCCAATGTTGCCATCTACAAACCTTTATTTTGAAACATGTTTTCACTCAATGGGTTTCTTCCATCGTAGCAATATTTCAATACTAGACGTTATTCTCCTCTCAATCCTCAATTTCCTAAGCCAATGGCATCTTTTAATTCATTATCTTTGCAACTAGAAGCAAAATTCAGAGCCCAATCTTATAATATAAGGGCATTGCAAAAAGATTTGTGCAACATCATTCATAAAGTATGAAAACTTTGATTGTGTTTGGACCTTACTTGAAATGGACAAAAAGAGGAATGACAAGGGAGGTATTTAAGCTTGATTACACTAAATCTTGAAGATGGATTGTTGGACTTCGATTCATGGTCAGTTGCATTTTCAGAATTGTCTCATTACTAATTTTGAGCATACTCTCCTAATTCATAATGACCTCCTATTCTAACTTCAGCTCTCTAAGATTGTCCATTGCGAGGCCCTTATAATCCATCATGCAATTAAATTGATAGCAATTTCTTTGGAACATTGGCAATTTGGCCTAAGCTTCCTTGTGGAGTGTGGCAACTAAAATAACAAGAGGTTCTTAATTAGAGCATATTATGGGCCTCATTTTTGCACCAAATCATAGAAGAGGAATCATTAGAGCATTTCTATTTCCTTCATTAGGTTCCATGGAGAATAGGATTTTCTTACATGAAACACCATGTCACTTAAACAAAGTCTGTCCTAGTATTGAGATAAAAAAATTTCAACTTTCATAGCAGTTAAATGAAAATTTATTTCTCAATACTCTCATGAAACTTGTCTGCAATACTTGATGTTTTATGAGCTTGTTATCAAAAAATTTGAATGTGACTGCATCATAGTATTCATCCAAACACGTTCTAATCTGGTGTTTTAACAAATAAAACATGTGGAAGTGTACTATTTCAAATTACATAATGTTAACATGCTCTCCCCAAAATTTAAGGGGCAATCCTTCTTCAAGCTTATAGTCCGTGCAACATTTAAACAATGTTGATACTTGTGTTGGACTCTCCTATTTTTGTTGTGAGACCAAAAGTTAGGTTTATTATTACATTATTACAACATAATTATTGAATTTGATATTAAGAAACCCCCTCTAATCCCACATAAAATTTGGTAATTAATGACCAACTCGGAGCACATACATGTGTATTTTGTAAGCCCATATGAAGCCAATTTAGGCTCTCTTTACAAAGATTGAAAAAGCATCTCTCTTACAAAAATAAATATGAATGTTTCATATGTCCTCTTCCAAGCTGAGGTAAGATAATATTCTGCATGGTTCTCTCCAAGAATGACCAAGCAGTGGTGCACATGATTAACATAAGATTTCTAACACGAATAATTAGCACATAAGTCACATAGACATCCAATATTTTGTTGATAACCATTTTTGTTTTTCGGTTTTGTCCATCTTGTATTTATGTTATTACAACTCAGCATTGTCTCCTATAAATCATTTTAGCAGTGTAACCTGATGATATACAACAGTGATATAAAATTATGCCTAACTTCCTAAACATTTAAGCTAGAACTATATACCTTTAACTTGCACACAATTTTTCAATATTTAATATTCGGATTAAGTAATGTTTACACCATTAGCCGCATGACTACGATCTAACGCAAGAAGCTTTAGGCAACTACAAATGCTTTTTATCAATGAACCCGAAGTTCAGCTTGTAAAGAGGTAACTCTAGGCTACCTAAGGTTGACAATACAGTACGTAATCATCACTGCTACACATTTGCAATGAATACAGTAAATAATTATGCATCCTCCCTTCATTGCAACAAGACCACGAAGCGTCCCCAAAAAATCTCCAAAACAAGGTGGTTTCTCAGCCATTGTCTATGTTTTCAAGCAAGAAAGAAGTTTATCAATTTATAACTCATGTCATTTGTTGCTCCGAATCATGAACAACGCATATCCGAATCAACCTTACGCTTTCCACAATCATCCAAGCAGCAAAAAAAGACAAACAAATAGAGCTCAAATGCAAGAAATACTTCGAGAAGCAAAAGAATTTAAAAAGCTAGGCGGGCAAGAAGGGATCACCAAGTATGGAAGCGGCCTCGGCGATGGGGAGAGAAAAGAATTTTGTAATGTCGTTAATTGTGAGCTTCCCGCTCCTCGTCGGTGGCGGCCGCAGCGAGGGATGATTCGCTCCCGGCAAGGAAACGGCTTTTCCCCCGCTCTCCGGGTTTTCTGGTAGTCGGGTTTGATGGCTCGAGGGTTCAGCTCCTGACGTGAAGTACATAATTATACGATCATAATCTCGTAGATTAGCTAGTACGCATGTCTAATCCAATCCAATCCAATCCAACGTGTAGACGAGGCAGCAGCATCGATTCGAACGTTGGATCCTTCTTTTAAGCCCGAGGCGGTCGGAACTCAGAAAGCTCGAAGCTGGACTCGTTTGAGTGGAACAACACGTCGACACTCGTCGGTTCTAGGGCTTGGTTTGCTATTTTGCCCATTTCATGCGAAACCACATATTTTGCTGTTTATTCCCTTCCTTAATTTTGTTTCTTTTTTTTTTAATCCTCAAGTTCTATGACTTTTACTTTCGTAAAATTATTGAATTCAACCTATTTTTTGTTAATATCTGAACTTTTTTTTATTGCACTGTTAATGTCTGAACTTAAGATAACATTAATTCTCTAATTTTACATATATTTATTCTCTAATTACCATTTCTCTTCCACAAACTAAGAAGAATTATGAATTAAATACCTAGAAATTCATATTTATTAGTCTCAATTACAATATGTCATTTGTACTTTAATTTGACTAGTCAAGTTTATTATTACTCATTTACTTTTTTTTTTTGGGAAAGATGCAATAGCATTAGCATTAAAAAAGAAGGCATAATACAAGCTACCAATACAATCACATTCCTCCTTTAACAACTGAAGAAAATTACTACTAAAAGCAAAGTCAGCACAAACATCAGCTAACTTATTACATTCCCTATATACACAATTAAAAATAACATGATGAAAATCTTTAACGAAGGCAAATTCTTCCATTCGGCCTTATTACCATTCATTGTCTTTAAACCATGCTAAAGAAACCTGATGACATTAACAGTATCTCCTTCAATTATATTCCCTTTATAATGTAACATCCATTCTTTCACAATCGATCAAAAGGAACGAACAGCTAACATCTCCAATCGATATACATCCCAATGTACACCACTGAATCCAAATGCCAATAAAAACCTTCATTTGTGATCACGGAATACACCCCCAACTCCAGCCTTATATGAAGACAGTAAGTAAGCATCTACATAAACTTTAATCCAGTCCAGAGGAGGAGGGTGCCAACATTTCTTGAACAACCAACCCTGCAGATTAGCACCCTAGATACCCGACTTTAATAGACCACATCCGACCGAAGATGAAAATGAAGCAAATTACTCATTTTCATTTGAATATTTGATAAGTAGAAAAAAATGTATATTTCAAATTACACATATTGCTATAAAGTGCTAGTTAAATTTATATTTTGATACCAAAAATAGGTTAAAATTATCAAAAACGGCCTAGCACTATAGATCTAGCACTACAACGCTACAACTTCTCTCAGCACCATAGCACCACAAGACCGCAGCGGTTGAAGTCCCGGATGAATGTTTGAGACCTTAGCATCGTGGCAATACTAGAGAGCGTCGCAATGCCAAATCAATCGTGTAGGGCCAAATCACCTCAACACTACTGCGGAAGATAGTTAGATATAGTTGAATTGGCGAACCAATACGATGAATAGTGAACTGACATTACGGTTCAACGACACTACCCAGCAACACCAAGATGATAATTCATTTATTTTTTATTTTAATAAATAGGAAGCCTATGTCACATGTAATGGTGGTTGTTGTTGTGGGTTGGAAAAGGGGAGAGACGCTAGGGGGGGGGTGTATATGAGTGTGTGAGGTTGCTTTTAGTGGAGGTTAGCCCTTGTGTTTCTATTGAGTTTTGTACTTGTGTGGAGAGATGAAAAGAGTGAAAGGAGTGTGTACTATTGAGCCTAGTCATTTTTATCCTTCCTTTTTATGTTATACTTTTTATTTTGTTCAGTAAAAAGAAAATATTTATTGTGTTTAATGGTATCTCTATGATTGGTTAAATTGGATTTTCTAAGCTTAAAATGATTTAGGAATCATGTATTGCATAGAATAAATTTGTGATTTCATAAATTTGTTTAATGTTATTCTTAATCCTCCATGCTTCATTTATTTTGTGCATAGGTCAAGCATAAACTTAAAATCTAATGTGATCTATAACCTCAACGAAAGAGTAGAAGAATAAATAAGGATTTAAAATATAATCTCGCCATTCATAAATATATGATGTTTAGGATTATGGGATCTTAAGGAGATAATAAAGTTGTAACAGGGAGGAATCCTAGTTAATAATTCAATGAGCTTGACAAAGACGATGAGTACATGTTCTCTAATTTATAGCAACCTTAGAAATATATCAATTACAAACATGTGTTTTTAAATTTCCTATGTTCAAAGTCTTAAAAATTATTGGATTTATGTTTTGCAACTATAGTTTTCTACTTTTCATTGCATCTTCTTTTATAATTGACTGATAAGTTAAATATAGTAGTTTTATTAAGCAGTACTAGAGTGAGCTTAGGATAATTTAGAACCCTCTTGGGAAAAATATTCATCTCATCACTTTATGACTTGCATTACATATGCACTTTTGTATAACATGAGTTACACCTTAGCATATAAACAATAGTTAATAAACCAACTAGTGTGTGGAATTTCCTGTCAAGTTTTTAGTTTCAATATTGAGCTAAAATAACTAGAAGAAGTGATTAGGAATGAGGTTAAAATTGTAGATGAAATTTTACAGGAAGCCCCATTAGAACCCACTAAGTCCGAGGAACTATCTCAGCCTAGTAAGGAAATGGAAAAACCTATTATGAAGGTAGTTGAGAGATCACCAGCACCTTTTTCTCAGAGATTATTAAAGCAAAATTTTAGATAGATAGTCTCTAAATTTTTAGAGATTTTTTAAAAAATAACAATTAATATACTCTTTGTGGAATCCTTCAAACAAATGCCTAAATATGCAAAATTTATGAAATATATTTTATTAAAAAGAGAAAAATAGGAGAATTTGAAGCAATAGCCCTTATTGAGGAATATAGTAGCATTCAAAAGAAACCCACAAAAGCTTTAAAACAATTTCATGTTAAATATAAATTATGTACTATTTAATGTATTTATATTCAGCAAAAATGTGTTATTTTAATTGTGTTTGTGCATAAATTTTTTAGAAAATGGTAAAACTTTTAAGTGTTGAGCTGCGCCGCGATGCCAACTTATATTATGCAATAACGCCTACATCATCCACATCGAAACACTAATTTCAGATGTTGCAACACTAACTTCATTATTATTTTGCACTGTGGAGACACAAAGGTCAACGTCGTAATTGCTTAAAGCACTTATATGCCTGAAATTCAGCACCATAGTATTGGAGCTTCAAGAAAATTCACACCAGAGCATCATGCCTTTCAGCGCCTTAGTGCCAGAATCCCAATTTGAACATCGCAGTGCTCAAATTTTGGAGCACCAAGGTGGAGAAATTTCCAAAGCGAGGAGTCACACTAGTTCAGTAAAAAGATGAATAATTTCAATCCTAAATTGTGTTAGGTATGGCTTAGTAAAAAGATGAATCATTTCAATCATAAATTGTGCTAGGTCAGCCAACGCCACAACGGACCAAACATTACAACATCGAGGGCTTAATTCATTTTTCACCACCACGACGGCACCTTATCCAGTGTTATAGTGCCTGAACCCATCCATGTACTTATTGTTGAAACTCGTTCACTATAAATTTGGTTGTTAAACCTAAGCTTATGTCCCAACGGCTAACTAAGAGGGCGGTGAGTTGGTAATTAAAAAAATTAATCTCTCTTTTTTTATTTTTAAACCGAAAAATAAACTTTAATGAGTTTTGTAGAAAACGTTTTTCAATCACAGTTTTAAAAGTAAAAACACAAAAATAAAAAGACAGCGAAAAAATAAAGACACGATGTTTATAATGGTTCGGTCAAAATCAGACCTACATCCACACCCCGGAGGCACCCTCCGAGTATTGCACTAATACCAATAGTGACTCTCCTTTTGCACCCACAGCAAGGCGGAGAAGCCTTTACAAACACTCTTTCAACAACTACCCGGTGTGGCAGAGAACCGTCGTTCTTTTACACTATCCCCAGTATTGGTAGAGAACCTTCGTCCTTTTACACTATCCCCATTGTTGGCAGAGAACCGTCATCCTTTTACACTCTCCCGGTGTAGGCAGAGAACCCTTCGGCTGTTCACACTCTCGAAGTGTGGGCAAAGAACCCTTCGGCTGTTCACACTCTCCAAGTGTCGGCAGAGAACCGGATCTCCTTGACAGATCTTCTCAAAAGAATTCTAGAAGGAAGAGAGAAAAGAGTGAAGTAATCACAAACCAAGAGTAAACACTCTTACCTTTGAGTACCAAGTGAAACCTTCACGCTCCAATGGCAAGAAATCTCCTTCAAACACTCTCTCACACTCTCTCTTTCACTCTTCTTTTAATAGGCACGAAGATCAGTAGGCAAAAAGATTATGTGGTAGTTTATTTTGGACTATTTATAGGAAAGACACAAAAAACCGTCCAAAAACTGCAAATTTTCATGTCAATACGAATTGGATAGTCTCATATGATTGTGGATTATCCTTGACGATTTTACTTAAATGTGTTGAAAATGAACCTAATGTATATGGATACGAAATGACTTCATACACACACATCATCCCGTACGAACTAAGTTCGTCCGGTACGAACGGTTATTCCATAGGTCGGTTCCCAAAAACTGCAAAACGATACTTAATTTTTAGAGTCGGTTCACTTCATCCTGGGATGAAGTTAAGATTCATCCGGACGAAAGTTTTACTTAGAGTAAATCATCCTGGGATGAATACACTTCGTCCTGGACGATAGTACTCCTGAGAGCAACTCGTCCTAGAACGAATACACTTCATTTTTGAATGAAATTTTTCCAGAGAATATTTCGTCCTGGAACGAATACACTTCGTCCTAGGCGATCACACAAGAGTAAAAACAACTCTTCCAAAAAGTATTAGGAGATAACTATACATAAAATAATAATATTTAAAATCATCAAAACTATACAAGTTGCAAAAATATAAAATATGCAAATAGCAACTCTCTTAATAATCTCCCCCTTTTTTATGATGGCAAAATAATTATTATTTGTATAATTTTCAAATTCAAAAAATCTCCTAAACTCCCCTGAATTGATGAACATATGTAAATAATGAGGTATTTTTAGAAAAATACAGATAAAACAAACACACATAACTTATACAATAAACACAAAATACAAAACAAAAAAACAAAAATAGATCAAACAAAATCA